TGCTACATGCAGCAGTTCAGGGTGGGGAAACACAGAAATGTTGGTCCTCTTGCTAAACCTCCAGGTCTTCATAATATTCTGCTTCTGGAGGCATTCAAATCCTTTCTCACCAAGGATGAATGCAAAGTTTTACCTTCCACAGTGGAACCCAATTCCCTGTTCCCTGGGGTAAAGACAGAAGCTCTCACATGCTGCTGCTGGCTCGCTTTGCCGTCAGGCAGGATCAGCTGCTGTCTTAGGTATTTTGAATGTCCCCTGAGTTCAGGACCTGCTGCAGAGCAGGGGATCTCACACCACGGTATCTCCACAATACTGAGGGGAAAGGGAACCCCCTCATCCTGCCCTCTGTCAGGTCACATCCAGCACTTCCTCCTCTTGAAAACAAACACAGCTTGCCCAGCCAGCTCAAAACATCTGGGCCAAGTACATCACATTCAAGTCAGAGATAACACGATGGGGCATGAAACCCAAAATAAAACAACAATCAAGAGATTGCCCTTCCACAAGATTCTGCCTCTGGTTTCTACCTCGGATGCCCCAGTGCAGTAACTAAGCCCACCAAAGCTGCATCGCAGAAGCCTTTGAACACAGGGGTTAAGGTAGACCCCCTGGCTCCACTGCCACCACCATCTATACCCAGGACATGCCGAGTGCAGCACTTCAGGGCTGTCTGTACTGCCCAAGTTCCAGAGAATACTGCAGAGCAGCTGGAGGAGGAGAAGGCTTTTCCTGTGGCTGCCCTGTGGCTCCCAAGGTTGTTGTTTAGGTGCAAAGCTCTGGAAGGTGCAGAGGGAATTAAATTCCCCACTGTACATAATGAAGCTCCTGAAAAGCTGTCCCTATAATTAGCTGTGTACACAGTGAACACAGTCACTGGGGACACTGCTTTAGCTGGCAGGCTTGTTTGCTGAACCAGAGCTTCATTCATGTCCTGTTTTGTTTCCCTCTAGCACTGAGGAAGAGTCACGTCACCATGCCCAATTCCTGCAGCTGTTGTGTCCACACAGGGCCAAGACACGAACCTCAGACACCCATGCAGCAGGCCTGTTACCCCCACACTGTTTGGTCTGGACCACAGAGGTGCGTGACACTGGAAACATCTACGACGCCAAGGCTTCTCTCAGGTGTCTCTGCAGAAGACCTTCCCACTTTACCTTACTGCAGAGAAAGCAATACAACACTTCCTAGGGAGGAACAAGCTATAGCCATAAAAAGGAGCAGCTTTCCTTCAACTTTTCCACTGAAGGAAAGAAAGCAGAGCTCTTGCTAGGAGATACAGCCTTGCACATTCTAGGACTGGTATAAAACCAGGAGTTCAAAACCATCACACACCACTGACATGGGGAAGTTGGAAGGTGTGAGTTTGCTCTGCCTGGGCTCTGGGACAGCGTGAGGTGAGCCATCTCTGATCTCCAAAGCTGCAGTGTGTGACAGAGTCTGGGATGAGATCCTGTGTCTCCCCAGTGCTTCGGAGGGGCTGAGACCCTGTGCTCACACCCTCACACAGCCCTAGGGTCCAAGACAACTGATCCTCCTGCCACCATGTCCCTTGCACAGGGCACACACAGGCCTGGCAAGGCTCATGCACTGCACAGAAGACTCCAACACTGAAGATGAGGCTTCATTCATGCTCTTCCAGTCCAGCACTGCAACCTCTGCCCACACCCAGGGGCTGAGCCACCAGCCAAAAGCAGCAAGACATTCTGAACCTTAGACCCTTCCCCTCTGTCTGGGGCTCAGCCTCCTGCTCTCAGCATCTTTCCCATACTTCCACAGCCCTTCTTCAATGCACAAAAGCCACAGGAGCACCCAGCAGGATTCAGGCATACATACTGCCACTAGACACATGCTCATTCAAGAAGTCATCTGGTGCAAATAGTTCTCTTCCCTGGCCCTACTGATGGTGAGGGCATGTTTTGCTCTTCTCACCAACAGCATCTCCTGGGTAAGCTCACTGAGGAGGAGAGGCTGCAGCGCAGCCACATGATGCTACCAGGCAAGGTCCCCCATGCCAAGGAATGCTGCCAAGCAGCACAGTCTTCACTTGTAGCTCCAGGACTAGTCTGTAAATCCAGTGCACCACAGTGGCAGGTATGTGACCCACCCTGAACAGTGCTTCAGAGAAAAAGGCACTTAAGAGATCTGCAGAGATGGCTTACTCCAGCTGTTATATGAACACTGTACCCATGGGCCAAACCTTGTTTGGCCTTTTAGGCTCCAGCTGGTGACATCCTCACTTCTAGGACCACATGCTAGTGTCAGAAGGTCACTGTGAAATGGCTGCTCAGAAGAGAGGACACACGAGTAAAACGGTTTTATGGACTGAGTGCAGGCACCTTCACTTTTACCAGCCTAAAGAAAGAAATACGTAGCACATAATGCCCCAGACTCACCTCTCCCTTGACACCTTTGGTGTTACTATCTATCTGTGTCCAGAAGCAATACCACAGGTTCTCACAGGCCACATACAAACCAGTCGTTAGGAAGCACTCAGCTGTGACAAGGGAAGAACTGAACAGAGGTGTTTTACATCTCTCTCTTCCCTCTTTTTCTGCTCTTTTATGAACTGCTTCATTTAGAAAACAATTCTTGGCTATTGTGTTGACCATGGAGCTTCTGAGACCCCATATTGCCCACTGCCCTGCCTCTTAGAGAGCTGCCTGTGGAGGGAGAGTTTCCCGGCCTTGGCAACGTAAGGCACAATCCTGAACGCTTTTTTGGTCGTATCACTTTTCCTTGGAAATGCACTATAATTTTGATTCCCCATACCAACTATTACAGCACTGGGCTTGCTTTACGTAAGCGGAGGAGAAGACAGAGAAGAGCACTAAAGGAAATAAGTCCAGCTGCATGGGAGACAGAGCCTTAGGGAGATGCAAGACATCAGCTTGATCCACATGGAAGAGGCAAGAGCTAGCACAGGCCTGGCACCTGCCTCTCTATTGTACTGAGAGCCTCCGTGCTGTGGCCTTCATCATGGTGGCTGGCAGTTACTTTGCATCCCTTCCAGCTCATGACTTCTCCCTCTGTGGTGGGGAGTTGTGTTTGCCTCACCCGCAAGAACAACTTCTTTCTATTCGCAGCTCTTTGCCTTGGGCTAGTCTCTGAGAGAGGGCTGAGGTTTCTCAGCTCTATGCCTCTTAGGCTCCCTGTCCCGAGCCAAGTTTCTCAAGCCCTGAGAGACAATGCAATCACTGTTTGACCCAAGCATCCATACTTCATGCCAAAGGATGCTGAGCCAAGTATGAGGCAAGCCTACTGCATGCATCTAGTACAGCAGGCCAGGGAAGGCTCATACGCCTCACCTGCAGAGTCCCCATTCTCTGTACCCCAGCAGCACTGGGATCTCTGAGGGATGTCTGAGGTCAGTACATAGACATTAGCATTTCCCTCTAAGGCAGTGTGGAGATGTCCCCTGTCTTGCAATGCAACTTTCTACTGCTCTTCTGTCACAGCTACCATTCCTCTTTGCCTCAGTTTGCATCTTGGGATCATTCATTTATTCTACACCAACTCAGACCTGCTGTACCCAGTGTTGTTCTGATCCCAAATCTTCACAGAAATCTCTCATTCTCGTGGGAATACCCGTTGATGATGGTTCGATTTCATGGGGAATGATTCTTATCAACCAATCTGACTGTTAGTCATTGCAAGCCTGGTTAAATTCAGAGAAATTAGATTTTTGAGCTTATTCACTCAGAAATAAGCAGGCTTGGGCTTTAAGTGAAAGACATGAGGAGTGGGAAATCACATATCTGCATAAAAATTCAAGCTATTCACTTTCTGCTTTATTTAGTAAAATAAATGAAAAAGTTCATGTGACATCAAGCAACCTCTTCCTAAGTGTCAGAAGAGGCTGATTGTGGATCGCAGCATGGCACCAAAAGCAAAGAGAATGAGGGAAACAGATCTCTCTAGGAACTACAAGCTTTATCTCTGATACTGCCATTTTGCTATATCACCCTTTGCTCCAACAGAGGTAGCATGGAAGGATGCAGTGTAGGGCATTACCAAAGCTTCCTGAGTACTGAGAAAAGAGAGGTGGAGCCAACAAATGAGAAGGGAGAAGAGATTCCTGGAGAGAACAGAGAGCATATATGTACATGGCATGGAGATGGGAATCCGTGACTGACTTGGCTCCTTAATCCTACTACTCCAGGAATTCATGAGCTGCAGGGCTCAATGAATTCTTCATATACCAGAAACAGATGACTCTGGGCACAGCCATCCTGTTGGTTGAGAAATTATCAGAGTTCCTCATTAAGGGCCTTCTCTTCAGGTTCGTCTTCTTTCTAAAACATATTAGAGACATGAAATCAGTTTTGATGTTGTTTGGTTTCTCTGCATAGTGATAAAAGGAAACAAACCAACTTAAATGCCTCCTGCTGTTCTCTATGCCACTGCCCTGCCTACCCCATTTTAGTTGCACAACACAGGGTCCTGACACAAAAAGCCTCTGTGCTATAAGAAGACAAGGTTTGACAAAGAGAGAACTCTTAACACTGAGTGAGCATGGAGGTTAAATTGTCCCTTTCCCAGCAGAGATCTCTGGTAGAGTCCTGAGCCCCCATCTGTACACTCTGTTCTGTGGTCTTGACAGATTTCTTTCCTATCCATGTCACTGTCTATCTGACCCTTTCCCAGCCACCATCCCCATTCTTAGTGTCCAAAAGCACCCTTCGATCTGTCTCCCCACATGCTGTTCCCAGAAAACAGATGCTTTACTGAGACCTTCATACAGTTGCAGAGGTCAGTAAATCAGTGTAGACTAAAAAGTAGAGATCAATGAAGAAAGAGGCTCTGCAAAGACATCCATCTCTGCTCTGATCTAGATCTAATGTTTTTCTGATATTCAGGTGCAAATGAAAATGAAAGAGGAGGTGGCAGGGGTGGGAAGGATTCCAAGGAACTGAAATCATCTTCTATAGGAGCCTTGTGAGCAACAGCATTGTCCTACAAGATCCCAGCTTCCTGTAGACTGTACAGGAGTCCCCCTTTACCTTCTGCATTCTTTGTAAGAAACGATTACAGAAGTCCTGTACATGCTCAACAGAGAATTCATCCAGAGTCAACACATCCTGCTCCTCATCTGGTGCGTAGAACATAGCCAGAGCTGGCAGCTGGGACTTCTTCAGTTTGAAGAATGACACTATTCGTTCATTGCTTTTCAAATTGATGTCCACCAGGATAAAGAGAATCTGTGATGGAAACAGGAGAGGAAACGTGAGCCAAACAGAGACTGAGAGAGAGAACAGATCTCCAAACAGTAATTAAGATTAATAGTGATATTTTTATAAAGAGTTAGAGAAAATCTACCATACCCTGTTCGGACAAAGCTTTCCTCTTCCATTATCTAACTGCTCTATGCAGTGCATTTTCCTGTATTTTATCAAGTCCAGACTTACACTACCGAACAAAATATCTTCTTTCACCATCTTTAAAAATATACCTACAGTATGGCAGGAGGGCAGCCTCCACTTCTATTCTCTTAATAGATGAGGAAACAAGATGCCTTTTATCTTAGTGACACGTGTAAAAGAAGCTGACTCCTCCACTTGCATGGTCTTTGGATAAGATGCTCACATTCATTCAAGACCCAGAGTGGCAGAGTAAAAAGGTCTTTTGGTGTGTGGAGAATCAAACTCAATTGCAAGAATATGGGAGTGAAGTATAGGGCAGCGGGAGCCTGCAAGAAAAAGAACATGAGAGTACCAAACACAAAGGATGCATTTAAGTGAGCTGCAATAGAAATGAAGATGCAATGATGTGGGAAACAGGAGTTGTTAGCAAGATACCGATGTCCATACAGCCCAGCTCAGTGGAGGGTTGTTCAGACCCGGGGAGAGAAGCCCAACAATGAATGAGCCAGGACGATAATGACCTATAGTTTTCTGAGATCCTGAACAGTCCTGGAGCGCAAGATCAAGCTGAGGATTAGGATTCAATAATATGGATTTATCAGAATTGGTGACCAATTCCATTTTTTTATTTTAAGTGTAAATTTCAACTGAGATCTTACAGGTGCAGCAGGAATTTTGGAATCTGAAAGATTATCAGCAAAATATACAGCTATCTCAAAAATATTTGTTAAATTATTGTTAAGTACAAACATCATGTGTAAGTTTTAGAAAAGAAAATAAATACAGCAATTAAACAATGCAATTGGTGACCTGATTAAATAGAATCCCTTGGCAGGTGGCTTCCAAGTCAGCAAAACAAACATCTGGTTAACGTGCATCATTTTATCTTCTCTTTATCCTGTGCAGACTACTAGGCCTAACATATTCAGTGTACCTATGGACATGGATATGACTTAACTTACACAACAAAAAAGAAGAATTTAAAATAGGAAAAGTAATGTACTATGATGATGTGCCCAGTTCTCAGGCTGTGAATCACGTTTTTCTTTCTTTTCAATCAAGAACACTTAAATTAGTTCAAAACTTTTTTTCTTCTCTAAAAATAAACTTTGTAAATCTCAAATTCTTTATTAAATTTATGTTCTATAAAAGCACAAATATATCTGGAAACTTTCCTAGGCAACAGCCTTTGGGAAGGAGGGATAGTTAGTCTGGTGTAAATCTTAACTGCAGTTAATCACTGTGATACAGAAACAGGAACACTTTCACTGCATACGTGATATTTACCACTGGTAAATTCTCTTCCAAAAGTCAACTCTGCCCCAAGGGCAACAAGCTAGTGAGCAGACAGATCATGGGGAACTTCTCCCAGGGTGCTAAATTCATCCTTTTGCAGGATAAACCACCAAACTACAGAAGGGTCACAAATCTAAGGGTCAGAGGGCTAAGGACCTGATCTAAGAGGCTTTCAGCTGAAGCAGAAATACTTATGTTTTAGCTGTTTTCCAGCATTTTTTTTTTAAGCTGGAAAAAGAGGCTGGTGTTGGAGGGAAGCACTTTCAGAGGATTGGTACAGGAAATGGTATCACATTTTCACCAGGTCATTCAGCTTTTGGTTCTCTCTATGGAAGATTCACTAGACAACAATGGTTTTTAATCAAATATTAAACAAGGAGTTAATCAAAAAAAAGCATTTAGAATACCCAGGGTGTTAAATGTTGTTACTTTCTATACAAAATCTCCACCTTTAAAACAGATGACTAGCACTTTAAAATGGTAATATAAATAAATGTTAGTCAACATTCTTCACTTTATCAAGCTTCCAGCCTTTGTTAAAAATCCCAAAACTAAAAAGCTGTACATATTTTATTCATGAATATGAAGAATAGAGTAAAAATAAAACAATAAAAAGGTTGGTGTTTAGAACTCCAAACCACTTTTTACTTACAAAGGGAAACTCAAACACACAAACAACTGGCCCCTCAGACAGAAGGGCTGAAATACCATCATTCACAGTTCCTGACTTGAATCTCTCTAATAACACACAATTGGCTCATGGAGTTACAGGGTGCCAAAGCAGAGCAAAAGCTTCCTTCCCCTCCTATATTCCAAAAATACAATTGCATTTTTCCACTGTTGTTCAAAAGAAAACACCTTAATGCCTATCACACATGTTTTAGAATGACACATTCCCAGTGGGTACTGTGATGTGGGATGAATCGTCCTTCAGCAAAAGGACAGGTCATGCATCCTTCGCTGGATGTGCTCCAGGAGGCTTGTGTGACCTCAGTGTCACACCTGGGAGGCTGTCTGTAAGGTGTGTTGGTACTGAGGCCACAAGCACAGGCAGCCTGATCACCTCAACAGCTGGAAACCAAGCAGGTTTCTCAATGGGGACACTTCCACAGTATATGCCACATTTTCTCACAAGGAATTTATTTTGTTCAGAGATTCCCAGCCAGCTCTAATCATAAAGAATGAATGTGGTGACCATGGAAAATCATACTGACCATGAGGCAAGATTCACTTTGCCTAACTTCTGTCATCTAGATCTTAGTCTTGTCTCGGACAGTCATCTAGGTAACCTCTACAATAAATGGTGACAGGCATTTTATTCCAGTTATTTTAGAAGGAAAGGGAGGACATGCCTGTCCTTCTCTACCAGTGCTGAAAAGAGCCTCAAGCCTTTGCTCAGACAACTTACCAAAGCTATAATTCACCAAAACAAATCCTACTTATGATGCCAACTCTCATGTGACTGCTAGAAACCAGATAGTTCCATCCCAAACAGAAAGATCATTTTCTATTTCATACTACCCTGTACAATAGCTGTTTTTTTCATTCTGAAATTATTTCCATTAAATTGTTTAATTTTATAGAAATGTTCTGATCTGTTTTCAGAGGTCTGCTGCTACAGGCAGTGAAGGATCTCTGGCATGGATGAGGAACTCCTGACAGAAACAGCCCCCTCCACACATAGTATTATCTGTGCACTGTCACCTGCAATAAGCTCTCTATTAGAAAACTTTGTGCACTGATGCTGTCTTGGTGTCTCACCAACTTGATTCCTAGCCCAGTGCTTTTAGAACAACAAATTCCTGGTAAATACTAAGATACGGAATGATGTTATTGCTTAAGGAATTGAAAACAGTACTGCAAAATTGGCAACTGAAAATTTCTCAAGTTAATTGAAAATAGTACTGCAATGGTAGAAATTTTATGTTGCTTAGTTTTTCCTCTAAAGAAGATAAACGGGAAGGATGATCAAGCCTTATAGCCAGTGTTTGACTTTGAACTTCCTGGAGCTGCAACCTTCATTCTTTGAGGACTGTGTACGCAAAAGGATCAAATTCTGAAGTTTGAGTAATTTCATATATAGCTTACATAGTACATCAAAGCAAAATTAAAACATCAGTCATGAATTTTAAAAAAAAAAAAGCAAGCTATAAAAACAACTTTTACTGCAGATATCTGTTAAGTGACATAGACAATCCATATTTACAGGTTGCCCTGTTTACGGCTAAAAGAGGCATCTTTAAGTATTATCTCTCTCAGTTTGGGAGCCATCAGTCTGACAAGAAAAGTAAAGTGTATGAATGACTGTCTGCAAGAGAAAGGGCACTGTCCTCCTACTTCCATGGAGGAACTCCTGAAGGACTCTCAGGAGTTTATCAGAGACCATTTCTATAGAGGATTACATATAAATTAAAAGGCACTTCGGAAACATCTCTACCCAAATCATTCTGACATTGTAAATCAGTTGTATCAGCTGCAGCAAAAGCTCTTTTTGTTATTCCCAACATCACCTTATTGAAACTTCTGCAAAAACCCATGAGGTACACCAGCTGTAACTGTAATGTTATACACTGATACTGTGGAAAGAAAACCGAAGATGCTTATGCTAGTTTGGCTCAGCAATGCAAACCTTGACATTTCCAGTAGAAAGCCTGGACTCTTGGCAATACTTTCTCAAATAAGTACATATCTGACTGCAGTGGGATCCTTCCAACAAGGCTGGTGGATTCTCTCCTGCAGCTGCAGCACTCTGGGCTCTGCCTGTTCACTGTTACCCACCCACAGTTGTTTCTCAAAGTCTGCTAGAAAAGTACCATATTTCTTATTTCTGTCAGCTCTTGCTGGCTTAGCATCATCTAACATTTGCACTTTCTTCTCCAGTATTTTATAGCCCCAGATTTCACAATAAAATCTAGAGGAATCTAGACTGCCTTCATACACTCACTGCTGCTCAGGGTGCAGTTCAGGCTGTTTTCAAATAACGATCCTCACCATAGAGCCTCATGGATCCTCCAGCTGAAAATCTCAGCTTCCTCTGAGGCAAAAATGAAAAGATCATAAACCTGATGAAGGGACCATAATCCAGAAACTGACAGGTGAATCACTTCCTCATGATCCATTAATGGTTGGATTCAATGATCTTAAGGGTCTTTTCCAACCTAAATGATTCTATGATTCTATGAGTTTCTTCACTCTTTGGGGTCAACCATTAAGCAGCAGCAGTTCCTCTTCATCCCTCCATCAATCCAAGCAATAAGTTTCTCTTCTCCCTCCAGCTGGTGATAACAATGACAAGGACTCCTTTTCCCTCAAAGCACAGCAGAGATGTGTGAAAGGATTGGTACCCCTTCTCCTGCCTGGGAACCCTCTTGAGGATCTGTTTGTGTTCTGCGCTGACTTGTAGAGAAGCGGCAACACACACCAAGTTTCCCCAGTCTGTTCTGGCACTTTGGTATCACTGTAAAGCACTGCTGGATGCAGTGGTACATGCTCACAGGGAGCCTGAACACCTCTTCACTGCACAGCAATGATTTCTTGCTCCAAAAACTGACAATGCTAACCCCAACGCACAAAAAAAAAGCCTTTCACCACAGGCTATGAAATATTCACAGGTAATCCTGACAAAAATTCAAGTCAATAACCTTGCATCTATTCAGAGACAATCTGCAAGCTGCAAAAAGGTAAAATCTACTCAGTACTTCACTTGTTTCAAATTCAACCTGAGTTAGCTTGGTAGTCCTGACAACAGATTACTCCATTTAGGAAAATTAGCCAGCAGATATTTCCATGGTATTGTGCAGTGTCTGCTTCTGATACTCAAATGAATTCATCTTTCTACATGACAGAGCAATGGAGACAAACCTAAGTGGGCATATCACTTTCCTTACTGCTTACTGTCCAGATCTAAAAACCAGAGGGATCCTAGCTGTCTTACTGCTTTGAAAGAGTGCAGTCCAAATCACAATTTCTTCTTCTGAGTGCCAGTCCTTTGGGAAAAACAATTTATTAGACTCTAAGTCCCTTCATCTACATGTCCTGCAGTACCACTGCAGTAAAGTGGAAATAACTAGTCAAATCCCCACATTTTTAATCTCTATGTTATACTCTGGCAAACTTCTAGACTGATTAGGTGGGAAACTTGCCTGCAAAAATTAAAAAAAAAGTTAGATTTGTCTTGCTGGAAATTCATAAATTATCTGGACTTCAGTACAACATTTTATCCAATGTTTTGTGAAATATTTCTGGGAAAATTATTCACATTTTCTCAGATCTAGGCATGTCACATGAGGAGAAAACTAGCTGCAGCTGCATCAGCAAAGGGTAGTGAACAGTAATGTGGTGTTAGAAGAGTTATCTGCCTGGGGGAGACCTGTATCAGAGGACAGTTATCGTGGTGTCACTATAACACAAAATTCACATGAGATGTCTAGAATTTTTCAGATAAATTAGTTTTATTTTATCACTAACTATTCATCAAAGCAAAACACTTCCAAAGAGACCTTTTGACTTTGATGCATGGTTTCTGCTTGGTCTCTTGCCAATGGGTGGGACAGATGGCAAGGTCCAATATAGTCCTGCCATAAACAAGTCTCAAGACTTTTGAGGACGCACAGTTCTGAGATGGCCCCTCCATCTGAAGATGAGGATATACTTGATTTTTAATCTGCTCCTTCGGTACCACAAACAGATGCATGCAGATGTTCTTGTTTGCAAACTCTAACTCTTTCCAGCTCCACACTTCTCCCAGGAAGGTCTCTTCCAAGGTCTCTCAGCTCAGCCTTCCCCGCTGCTATGATCTCTGCCTCTCCCATCTGCTGTTCTCCCTTGCCCCAAACGGCTTCCACTTGCTCCCAGTCCTCCTTTTCTTGACAGCTCCTTCCTCTGTTCCCAGGACACAAATTTCCCTGTAATCCAGCTGCTAGCAGAGAATCAGCCGTGAGCTGATTTACTATTTGGGGAGTAATGTCCACAAAGGGTTGGGAACCAGGCAACATTTCTCTGAAAGACCCCATCTATCCCATCACCTTAGTGTGGGAAATCCAACAAATCCATCTGCAACTCCTTTAAAATAGACATTTATCCCTGAATCCAACCAGAAGAGTAAGGGTTAAGAAGCACCATGACACTAATTGCTATCTGATCACTTATATAATGCTCCTTGGCATCTTGCAGGCTGTATCTACAAAATCACCTCTCACACCAGTGGAATGCAACCATCTCCAGACTGAAGTGCAGCAGCTGTTGGTCGTCTCCCAGTGCAAGGGAACAAAACTGGACCAGAAGCAAGGAAGTACATAATGTCCCACTGGGGGAGCAGAGGAGCAGGATACAGAGGATATTTTCCCCACAAGGAGGCAAACTGGCAAAAAGTGAACCCCTCCACTTAATTACCTAACTAATCCTCTTTGTCTGCCACTTGTCCTTTGCTCCTCTAATGCACAGAGGAGGAGATTATGCCCTACCCATCCACAGAAGAAATCACTGTTCTCCTTTTTTTCTCCCTAATGGCCCCACTTCTTCTCTGTTTGGACTTACCTTCCCCTTGAAGAATTCTGCTGCCAGCCGGTATCTGTGCATATGCTCGGGGTGTTTTGGGGACATCTTGTCTGTGATCAGAAGGAGATGAAGCTGGAGTGAACTCTGCATCACACCTATTGCTGTCTGCCAAAAACACGGCCCCCACAGACAGAGAGAGAAACATGCAGAGAGAAACAAGAAGATTGAGAACATTCAATCCACATCAGATGCATGGCCAGAGGTATATCAATCCTCATGTCAGCTGAGATTACTTTGCAAATCAGCCTCACAAGCAGGACAGCTTTCTTTAAAGCAGGAGGGATCTAACCTGGGTTCACTGTGGCAGCGCTTAACCTCCTGGCTTTGCTTGTTTCTGAGATGAGAATTTGAAGACCATAAGGGTTCATCCCTGGCCTCAGGAGAGTCAATGACTAGGGAGGGGGGCTGCCTAGATACAGCAAGCTGAAGTCTAGAGGTGCAAGGAAGTGGAGAGGGAAGGCCAGCAAACACTGAACATAAGGGTGCCCTGAATCGCTGAGGTCCAGCACCCAATTGAAATGGGAACAAGAAAGCAAGAAGGATTTGTGGTGTCAGGGTTGATGTCTCCCCTTATTTCCTTTCTTTCAGGTTAAGCTCTGTGTAGGATGTGGAGGAGTCCAAAGTTTCAGCAACCCCAGGGCCTGGGCATTCCAAAGTGCTGAGGGTCATTATTGCCTCTGCAGTCCCACGGTGGGAGAAGACCTGGAGCTGGCTGTCCCTCATCCCCTCGGCAAGAGTCAAGTGGGCAGCACACACTGGCCCTCTGTGAGGAGACAGGGCTGGCACTGCCCAAGAAGCCACCACATTATCTCTACACAAACACACACTCACTCACTCATCATCTCGCTTTTCCTTACACCCACCTCCTGCAGCCTCTCCCACAAACTAAACAGCTGCTGGGACAGACTTGCTGCCTTTCCCATGCCACCAAAACCACAGAGGTGCAGACTGTGCAGCTCCCATCAGTGGGAGAAGAAAGTTTCCACACACTCCAGGAATAATGTGTTGGGCTTAGTGTGTGTGTGGCAGGGGTTTCAGTAGCGGGGCAGGGGGCTACAGGGGTGGCCCCCTGTGAGAAGCTTCTCAAAGCTCCCCCAACTCCAAGTCAGACCCACCTCTGCACCAAGGCCAAGCCAATTAGCGATGGTGGCCACGCCTCTGTGATAACGTATTTAAGAAGGGCAACCTGGGAGGAGGAGTTGTGAAGGAGATACCCATGAAAACACTGAGGTCAGTGGAAGAAAGGAGGGGGAGGGAGGTGCATGGGAGCAGAGACACCCCTGCCTGATGCCTGTGGTGAGAGGGCAGGCTGTCCCCCTGCCACTCATGGAGGTCCATGGTGGGGCAGATGCCGACCTGAAGCCCGTGGAGGACCCCACACTGGAGCAGGTAGCTGCACCTAAAGAAGTCCAGGACTCTGTAGGAAGCCCCCGTTGTTGCAGTTAGGTGCTGGGAGGACTGCAACATGTGGGAGGGACCCACACTGGAGCAGCTTGTGAAGAGCTGCAGCCTGTGGGAAGGACTCGTGTTGGAGAAAGTTCACTGGAGCATGGGAGGAGTGTGAAGAGTTCTTCCCTGAGGAGGAAAGAGAGGAGGGACTGACCACTAGCCACCCATCCCCATCCTCTGCCCCTGCACCGCTGTGGGGGAAGAGGTAAAGAATTCTGGAGCAAGGTTGAGCAAGGGAAGGGAGGGGTAAGGGGAAGGTGTTTTTAAGATAAGATTATACTTCTCACTGTCCTACTCTATTTGCGAAGTGTTTGACTTAAATTGTTGTTCTTCTTCCCTAACAAGTCTGTCTTCTGCCTGTGACCGTAATGGGTGTGTCATCCCTCCCTGTCCTTATCTCAATTCCCAAGCCTTTGGCTTTATTTTCTCTTTCCCATTCCTGAGGGGGGAGGGAGCAGCTGTGTGATGTTTGGCTGCTGGCTGGGTTTAAACCATGATAAGTAATAAAGAAGGGGTCAGGGAGTGTACACCAGCAAGGGCCATGCACTGCAAAGCATCTAGCTTTTGGCATTAGCCTAATGTTTATCAGATATTTTGTATCCCTTCACTTCTCTGGTGGTGTGCAAATGGGGCAGGGGAGAGTAGAGGGGATGCAAACAGAGGCTGGAGAGCATTAGAAGACCTCATGGGAGAGGACGGGCTTGAAGGTGAGGGTGAAGCCAGCCAGCACTAAGTGCCATGACAAGGCTGGGCTGAGCGCAGGCAGGGCTGAAGGAGCAGTTCCTCTGGCAGCTCCACACAACCATATGCCTGTTCACGCAAGATCTCTTCTGCAAGAGCGATCAGCAGAGCTCATCAACATGGCCAGGTCACATCTGGCTCTCCTGGAAAGCCCTCAGGGTAAGCATTGCCTAAAAAATGCCTCTAGAGTATGTGGGAGAAACAGTAAGGGCCCCAAGATGGGAAGAGGAACTCTTGGCAGCACTCAGTGTGATCTGCATGACCCCAGCATCTGCTGACCAGCAGCATTCTTAGATGTAAACAGCATATGTAATGGGAATAAATATTTACAAAAAAAACAACCTACATTAGGGCAGCTGGGAGGGATTTGAGCTGGCGACTGCAGGAGGCACTGTTAATTGCAGTACCTTGATTGGACTCCAGAGCATGTGGGAAAAAAAAACTGGCACAACATGTATATTGCCAGTCAGGGTAGAGGGAATCACCTGAACAGATCAGGACTTCTCAGTCAGGGAGACAGACTGGGTGCTGAACAGGACACCATGGAGCAAGAGCCCAAAGCATCAGCAGAAACGCATGAAGGAAGTGCCATGATCTAATGAATTGCCTAAAGATGCAGTGGAGGCTCCAAGAGTTCAGAAGGCCTGGGCAATTACAAAGATAACAAGAACATCCCCATTGATGTTACCTGGGTGTTCTCAAAGGGCTGTGAGGACTGGGGTCCAGGATATAGCTTTTCCGTACCCAAAAATATTCTGTGATTTGAAATGCATTTTTCACATCCCTTATTGAAAAAAATTAATCCTTTTTTTTTTGTTAAGAAAAAACCAAAACTTCTACAGTATTTCATTCTGGAAACAAAATGTTGCATTTCCAAAACAAAATGCTTTCTGTACTGGTGGGCTGCACCTGAACTGGGAAATGTGGCAGCCCTCTTAGCTGATCCTTGGAGTAGGCTTGAAAAGGTATGGCTTTGAAACAGGTTGGGCCATTCTCCTTTGATTAAATTGAGCCTGGTCTACACTGTTGTAGCTATCCAGAAGTCTGCAAAAGACACCATCAGCAATGATAAACTCTCAGCCTTGTGGCCATCAGGGCTTCAAAGATCTATTGTATTCACAGCAATGAACCCAGTGAACTGCTGAGATTTCAGACAGGTCTAATTCCTTGGTCACCCTCTATGGCAGGGAGAAGCACTGGGACCCTGCCACTGCCAATCCAATGGTTGAGCTAATGAAGATGGCCAACCTGGAAGCATCCTATGTCTGATTTTTCTTTTTGTTGAACTGATGAATTCTGGAATAAGGGATAGAGGGGATGGGAAAAATTTTGCTTGGGAAGTTTCCAAATTACTTCAATATGTCTTCAAATAGCTGGGCATATATCAAGCCCTATGAGCTGAGTGATGGAGAAAAGCCTGCCTTCTGGAAGAAGGTCTCTCAAGTTTCCCTGTTTCTCAAGGCTTCCCAGGCAAAGAGAGGGGATCCTGGCTGAGCAGGGTCTGCAGGCATGGCACAACATGGCAAATGGCCACGGGGAGAAGCAGTACTGCTGGCAAGAGTGCTAAGAAACAGAGCTCTCTGCTCACCAACACCTGAAATTTGCTGGAAAGCTAAAGGAATCACCATGCCTCCCTTCCTCTCCCCACCCCACTTGCACGCCCCAGCACAGCATCTGCTTCTAGTCCCCATATGGAGTATCAGCAAAGAACTGTGTAGCTTCCCCTGCCCCATCCACACCATTGCCACAACCCTCACACACATCTGGGTGTGCAAACTCTTATGCCAGAGGATGCCCACGAGGAGGAGGACAAGTGCCAAGGTGAGGTCTGGGGGGAGCCGGCAATTACCACAGGGTTGTACTCTGTCACCAGGCGGAGCTCGTTCATCCGAACGAAACGAGTCATCTTCTCAGCATCAACATCTTTGCCGTTCATATCCACATCCCTCCGGCCATTGTCTACCTGAAAACATGCAGATACCTACAGTCACAGCTGTCCTATCCTCTCAGCACCCCCTCCAGAGGCACTGGTGGCATTCACTCATGGAGAGACCCAGCCCCTGGGACAGTGCCATCCTCTTCCCCCCCACCACATAATCCCCACTTCTGGAGTTCCAGAACATACAGAGACCAGCCTGCACTTCAAGATTAAGATCTTCCACTCTTCTCCAGTCTCCCAAGGAAAAGGCAAACTCATGGCATAACAGAAATCACAGAGGACTTCAGACATCCCTACAGTATCAGTTCCTGATGCACTGGAGACAGGGAGGATTAGCTGATAAACTATTCTAGGCATTGTGGGAAGAGATCATTAAACAGCCTAACTCCTTGCATCGATTTTGGCTTTACATCCCTTTTTAAAATATTCATCTGCTTACTGCATTTCATTTACAAGTAATAAACATTGGCATGGGCCTGTATGGATTTCCTGGAAACATTGTGCAAGCAGGAAATCTCTCCAATAAAAAGAGGACATTTTTTCCAGAACAGCAGTAAAAAAAAAAGGAAAAAAAAAAAATCAAGCCCAGCACATTTTAGCTGTAGAGGAAAATCCACCCTGCCACACATCTCCCTACACTCCAACTCCAACTGATTTTATTGAGGTTTCTGTGACCCGGTAAACAGAAAACAAACAAGCAACCATTGAATGATAGCTAAACCACCTGAAGGGGCAGAGTTGCTGTGCAGTGCCACCGCAGGACGTGACTGAGTTGAGACATGGGGACACTGGGCTCTGACATGCAATAGGATCAAAGTTTGGGATTTTAAGGCCTTTGATACACGTTGAGTGGGGTTCTTGGGGCTGAGGAAAAGTCCACATGCACACCCCAGATTTTATTCTCTGCATCTGTACAACCTCTGAAAGTGCTTGTGTTAGTTTTTCCAGTGGTGTTCAGACATCTAAAGCCCTTTTTGCTGCTCTGTGGTCATTGGCAAGGTCTTTGATCTGGTAGGGGGCCACACTGGTGTTTTTCAGGCAGCACGGCCTGATTCCTCTCGCAGATTTGCTCCTGCGTAAAATGAAAGGGCAGCTCTATTCAAGTAAATGAGATCAGACCAATGCAACACCTGGGCAGGTGAGATCAGACAGGCCTTGGGAACCAATCTAAAAAACCCCAGACTCCACAGAAAGTCTTTTCTTGACTTTCATGGCCTTCTGGAAACATTTGTGGATAATAACATCCTAAATCTGCACTCAACAGTTATGATTTTTAAGAAAATAAGGCTGGAGAATAGCCTGTGTCTAGCAGTTGAAGTTCAAGTCAAAATAACTTTATACACTCCATATAATTAGCTTGTTAGAATCTGTTAATTATGTTCTTTTTAGGTCTGTCAGGCCAGATTCCTCACTAGAATAAATCAGTTTCCCTCCACTACATAAAAAGAAGTCTCACCAGTTGACAGCAGCCCCTCCTACTACTGTAATTACAGTTTAAACTTCTAAGCATTAGTAAGAAGTGTTTCATACTCTGCAAAAGCAAAAAAAAAAATAAAACAAATTTATGCTTTTGATTCACTGCTATCCTGGTCACACATCTTTGTATTCTTCAAATGAGCATTTGATTCCAAGTTCCTGTCTCAGTTCTTTTTCCTTTTCCTTCTTATCTCTGACCCCTTACTCCTGCACAGCATTGATCACAGAATAAAAGGAAAAATAATGTGTCTGAACAATTTAATTTAAGAAAAACTGGAAAACAGACAAGTGAATTGTCAACAACATTTGAACCTGACTGGTGTATTAGTTTCTTGGGTTTTTTTCCTATTAAATAAGAGTTCATCTGCAAAAACTAGACTGTGAACAAAGAATATTCAGTATAATCCAAATTCTAACAATCCAGACACTCTTTTATCAAAGACCCTCCCAATGCAATCATCCTCACTATCTGCCATGGTACAAAAACAAAGGATCTTTTCAATATTTTTGGAAGAAAACCACCATGACTAAGAACTAAAACTGAGATGGGTGTTGCTTCAAATTGCAACATGTACAAATAGCAAATAAAAGGTTAAATTAAAGGACCTGACTATCTATTGCTCACTCTTAGATAATCTGAATTATTTGGATAATACCAGTGGTAAACAAGGTACAGGAAATGTTGAGAAAGAAAGGGGAACAAACTGACTTTGTCCAAGCTTTGTACAACCTGGATCTAGAACTTGGCCAAGCTGCCACATTTAGTTTCCCTAGTACACACAGTATGTCCCCATTCATCCCCCACCCTGTGTGCTTAGAGGTCTGGTGACACAACACTTCACAGACTTTTAGGACATCTTGTGCTACCTAGGGCTCCTCTCCTCCTCAGATACACCTCTCCAGTTTTCAAGTGCCACACTTGTGTGAGAAGGGGCAACACGAAGAAATTGATATAACCAGTAGAATACCTTCTCTTAACCTTTGTTGGTGCTCTTGAAGCAAGTACATGGCCCTTCCCAATATTGTCTCCTTATATCAGCAAACATAGCTTCAAATTCAGTGAGACACTTAGAGCTGAAGTCAACAAAGATTTGATCTTGCACAGCATCCATCCCTAAGAAATTGCAAAGTAACATTTTTAATGGGCCCATGCCGAAAGCATACTTAGGGAATAGCTCTGTAAATCACAGTGTAGGAGAGAGAAAACAGTGTCTGGAATTTCTTTTGCAGGCAGAGCATCTGTGACTGCAGAGACCCCGTCTGGATCTGATTTTGGTCACAATGGAAAATCTGTGCACCCAGGGAGACAGCTTTGCCTCCCTGAAGTGACACTTGGCAAAATTCAGTATCAAGCCTGCTGTGTTAATCCGCTGTAACATGGCCTCTAGATGCTTTTTATGTGTCTCAGGAGCCTTTCCAAACCCACGGAAACCCCATCCAAGTAACACTGAGCTCCAGGCAGGTCACTCAGAAACACAGACATCGTTCTTTGCAAAGCACTGGGTGCTGGACCAGATCCATAGGGCAAACACGTAAAATGGAGAGTCTCATCAGGTGTAATAAATGTTGCATGTCTCAGTGATGTGCACTCTGCAAGGGGAAAGCAAAAGACCTCTTCAGGGCAGGAAACTCTACAGATGCGCTTTCAGGTGGGCAGGCAGAGTGCCTGCCTGCAACAACCCTTTTTTTGGCTTGCTCTAAGGAGAGATGAGCAGCTTTAATCTTCTTTAGCACTACCACCCGGAGACTTCGCTTCTTCTGGAGCGTGACAGCAGGCAGTTTTGAAGCCCTTGCCCTAGCAGCCCCTCTCCCCAAAACCCGTGGGCAGGGCCACTCCGAAACCAGAGCGTTAATTTGGGAGGGACGGCTTTTCGCACGCCATCGCGTTTCGCGGGGAGGGAGCCGCTCGGGGGGGCGGCCACGGCTCTCCCCGCGTAGCTCCCCGGGCCACGGCAGCAATCCTCCCGGCCACGCTCCCCCCACCCCCCCCCTCCCACGCCGCGGGCCCACGCACCCTGCGGAAGAGCGTGACGGTGTTCGCCGCGACGCCGTAGTGGGACAGGACCGCGGGGCTGGTGCTGAGGCCGAAGGGCACCCCCGGCACCCGGCCGGCCGCCAGCCGGAACTGCGACGCTTCGGGGCTCTCCGGTTCCTGCGGAGGGAGAGGGAGCGGGGTGAAGCGGGGGCGGGGGGGTGAGGAGCGAAGAGCGGACCCCCACCCCCTCCCCAGCCTTCCCGCCACCGCCGCGCGCCCGCCGTGGGGCGAGGGCGACACCTACCGGCCGCCCGGCGGAACGGCCCCGGCCCCGCCGCGGGGGGGGGGGGGGGGGGGTGTGTACGGACGGACGGACGGACGACGGGGAGGGGAAGGGACTGGGAAGGGGGGGGCAACCAAAAGGCGAGGGAGGCCCCGGGGCGGCGGGGAGAGCGTCTGTCTGTCCCGTTGTCACCTCGCCTGCGTGGCCGGGGTTCTGCAGCCATCCCTCCCCCCCGCCCCCCGCCCCGCCGGCCACCTCTCCTCCCAAACCGGGGGAAGGGAGCGGGCGGCGATGCCAAGGCCGCTGCCGGTGTCAAAGCCGCAGCCTTCGGTAGGTGGCTACGGCAGCGCGGGGAATGTCGCCTTCCGTTTCTCCGAAACCTCCACGCTCACAGGTAGCACCGTGATGATGAGAAGCCCTAGAGCTCTCAAAAGGGAGGGGAGAAACCCAGAATCTGGATGCTTAAATATATATAAATATATGTATACACACACACATATATATATACACATGTACAAACGTATGTGTGTGTGTATAAAATAAATATATAAAAATATAATTTTCAAGATAATCTTGAGAGTCAGGAGTTTACAATTTTTGTACACCTTGCATTAGCAGTACACTGATTCCTCTTAAAAAGGTGTCTTAGACATCCTTTAAAAAATAGCTATTGCATATACATCGAAGGATAGAAATGTGCAATTTCTCAGTAATTTGAGGCCCATTCTCTTTCTTGCAGCAAGAGCATTAGCTACAGTATTAGCCCGTTTAAAGCCTCCCTCGCTATTCCCATTCCCAAGTTCTGAGTGATGTATTTTTGACACTTCTACTTACAGGATTTAAATTCTCAAGACTCAGTCTCTGCTTGGAAATTGGCTTGTAGTTTGAACCATCAGCTCAGCTGTTTGCAAGCCCAGAGAGAATGGAAAACAAAATTCCTTCTTCATTCAAAAGAAAAACAACTCTTTTGACCTGTTTTGGAAATGCCAGCTCATCAACATGGCTCTGGTAAGACCGAGAAAGCCTGGGGTGGGAATAACCTCACTGAGTTTTGGAGCATTCCTGGGAAAGCTGGGGTTTAATCAGGCCAAGCATGACCCTTTCGTGCAGACATGTGGGGTTTCTGGAGCAGTGTGCTGTTTTTCTGTCATGGCATGCTGTTCCCAGCCAGGGAGGCCGTGCTCATTATACGGGGAACTTGCTGAGCTGCCTACTGCAGTGAATTGAAAGGCTGCAGCAGAGAAATAAATTATGGTGAACAGAGAACATGGACATTATTTGGATGAATATACTCCCAGGCAGAGGGCCCAAGGCAAGCGCTATTGGGACACATACGTCTTTATCTACTGCTTAAATGCAGCCCTGTCGTGCTTCAGGCACTGAATGCCCAACACGTCGCTGGCTGCTGCCAGGGCCACATGGCAGTAGCCTCCTGTCTGACTGTGAAGAATAAAATCCTGCGGTGGGAGGGAGGCCGCGGTGGCACAAGACACCAGCAGTTATGCCCCCGTGCTGCTTCACCCAGCAAGACGCCGCGGTCCCTGCCGTAGCTCAGCAAGAGGATCTGCACCCCGGGTACAGCCCTGTCACAAGCCCGGCCCGCTACCCTGCGGGAAGGAGATGTCTCAGCACTTTCGTTCTGCGTGTGCAGATTGCCTCACTGCTTTGCAGGACTGTAGCTCTGCAAGAGCAACCCCGAGGAGCTCCGAATGCTTGCAGGCGCCCAAGGCGAGGCGGCTGGTGCCCAAGGCAAGGCAAGCTGGTGCTCTGTGATCAGTGCTTAGCGAGGCCCCTGGAGCATAAGCCTCCAGCACTCATACACTTGCTGCTGCCCACGCTGCACCATCAGTCCTCACTCTGGTGGGCTGCGAGATGGCGTTGCCCTATACCCAGGTGTGGGGCAGAAAGAGGAAGGAGCTTGCAGAAAGGAGTTGGTTTTGAGAGGCTGAAGTCTCTTACAAAAGCCATGAGGCAGCATGTGGGCAGCAAAAGCCCAGGACAGAGCTCAAGGAAAAGGGGGAAAAAGGTGCAACTCGGGGACCTTAAAAGTAATGAGGATCCTGTCAAGGAGGCCTCTGATTTATGGTGCTCTAACTCAATAAATATTTTTGTCTTGTTTCCTAAGGAAAAATATTCATGCCATTTGGGGATCAAGGGGCACATACTCATATACTGACCTTTGAATTCAATTGAATTTAGACACAGAGGCAGACATCGCAAGGCTATCAACTCTGGGGAACAAAGCAGAGAAACAGAGACCATGCCTACACCCTCCCTGGGAGGAGGCTGTAGCTTGAGCCCAAACCCTCTCAGACTTCAGAGGACCCACACGAGCACTGGTCCCTGAGACCCAGCTTCCTCAGCCCTGTCACCCAGGCATTGCCTTGCTCATCTTTGCTGACTAAAGCAAACAACTGATGTTCCCACTCACCCCTTGTCAAGTTTCTCTGCCACCCACATTCCTGTTTTGCTTCCCCCCACAGCATTTCCCTTTTTTCCACTCTAGGGCTCCTATGATCTCCTCCCCCTTCCTCCCTTGTTCCATCTCCCTCTCCACACGGACAGAATTTCCTGCGTTCTCTCTGTGGCCTGTCACCTAATCCATCCACATGCCTGTCACAGCCCCAGCACCTTTTGGGACAGGAGCTGCCTTTGGAAAGTGTTTATGCCACATCCAGCCCCAAGCTCTTGTCAGGGTGGGATAGGGCTCACAGCTGGCAGAGGAGAGGTGCTGTGAACACACCTGGAAGAATCCAACGACCACCACCTCCTCACTGCTGATGAAAGCTTCAGCATCCATGATGTTGTTCAACAGGATAGGTTTCTCCACGGTGCCAGCTGTGCCTGGAGAGCAACATTGGACAGAGGATACACAGAGCAGCTCAGAGAGGCTCTCCCCAACATGCATGCAAGCATCCCACCCCTTGCAAGCTCATCCACACTCCTCTCCGGCAAGCTCAACACAACATTTGTGCTCCACACCCTGGCTAAGGAGGGCTCCCCATGGCGGACCCAGCCTTTCCCCACGCCAGGAGGAAAGCTCACTTACTGTGGGATGCAGAGCCGCCATCGTCTCCAGCACACCCTGCTAGGGAGCTCCCGGTGAGCAGGATAACGAAGAGGCATGGGAAGACAAATGTGCCCATGGCGCCAGCTTGCCCTCTCCTTGCCACGTCACCCTTGCTGCAGACCTCTCCTCAGCAAGAGACACGTCAGCTCTCCACGACAAGAGACACGGAAGCTTCAGGGGCCCACAGCCACCCCTTCGGCGGTGGGAAGGGAGCAGCTGGCCCAGGGTGAAACCTTCAGCTCCTGAGATAAGCAACTGGCTGGGAGAGAGCCCCTTCCTGCTGTGCGGGCACCAGCCTTGGAGTACCTCGCCAACACGGTCGCCAGTGTGTCCTCACCCACAGCGCAGGACATCTGGGCAGCACCCCAGCTGGGTAAGAACACCCCTCCATGCAGCAGGAGCCACTGCGCTTCTCCAAGGGCCGGGTCCCAGAGGCTGACGTTCCCCTGTGGGAACAGCGGGGCAGCCACTGGGACATGCAGCTCTTGCGTTGGCCCTGGCTGTGGGGAATGGCTGCCATGGTAAGCATTAAACATGAGAACATGTTATAGCTCCCTGGGCCCATTCTGCTGTCACCCGGGGTGAGAGGTGGGGGGCTGTTTATCCCTGGAGTCTAGCCCCACCCCCTTGGGCTCCAAAGGAGGAGTCATGAAACCCCTTGAAGGAAGCAGCTCTGAAATAACTTACCTATGGAGTTAGGCTGATGTTTTGAAAGAGGAGGGCTATTTCCCTGCTGAAACATGCTCTTAAGCCTTCCTATAATGCATTCTCCACATACATCTCACCAAAAAGCTTACTGTAGAAAAGAATATGACACTCATGCAGAAAAGAAGAAACCGGTTTTATTATTGGGACACTGAAGTCTTGTTACAGCATCTAGCTGCATTCCCCCTGACTGGTTTTGCCTGCACAAGGATGGATTTTAACGGGGTAGGGCACCAGTTACAGACCAGGAGACCATCACGGGAGGTAAGTAACCGTTTACAATGAGTCAGAGCACATGGCAAGTGTAACTCAGATGGGGATTTTCCAGGGACCAGTCCGCCCTGCCAGGTGATCTTGTTTCCTAGAAAAGGCACTTCCGGGACCGGAGTTGGTACAGGAGAGATGGAGGCAGCAGGAGGAAGTACTGGGAGAGAGGGAGGGAGATGCTTCCCAATTTAATCCATTATGTGTTATGATGGGGCAGTGGTGAGAACGGGCAGGTTATTTTCAGTGTATCAGAAGAAGCAGCAAAGGCCGCCTGCAGGCCTGTGCATCAACCGAGGCCGGCACAGAGCCCCGGCACCCACGGGAAGGACTGCCAGGGCTGTGGCTGGCGACGGTGGCAGGAAGGAGCAGCGTGGTGGGCATGGCCCACCTGGAGACTGGTGCAGGAGGCAAGGGGATGGGAAGGGGGAAGGCAAACTGGGTGAACTCATTCTGTCCATTCCTTCTTGATGGACAGGTTCCACTCCCAGGTGAGATGGTCATGCTTGTCATCATCCGTGAAGAAGGACTTGTTGTGATAGGTGCCTCGAGCCAGCATACCCTTAGGAGCCTCCTCAATAGGCGTCAGGAACTCATACTCCTCTGGCCGTGGCCCATAGCTGCCAACCATGAATGTGGCTTTGTCCACTAGAAGAAAACAATCCACAAGGGATGAGCTCCTCAGGTGGGGAATGATAAAGGTGAGAAGAAGCCATGAGCATGAGCACAGATCACAGACAGAAAGGAGATAGTGGGGAGAGAAAGGGACAGTTCATGTCAGCAAGGGGAACAGAATCAGTGGAAAAAGTGGGTTAGTGAAATACACGGACAGCTGGAAGGATAAATGGATGGATGGGCAGACAGACAGGCAACTCAGTCTGTGCCCTCTCACGTGTATGTACTGCTGGATGGGAGTGGGCACACGCAGAATATGGCTCAAGATCAATCTTGATGCCCCACTACTTCTCTTTTCTGGTGAGAAGACACTACTTACATGTGCTAAACAGGAAGCTGGAGCCTTAGAGGTGGCTGCATGCAAAAATGCACGTGGGATGTGTGTGTGTGCAAAATGGGCTTTCCTCTGCCTTGTCCTGGCAGGGCAGCACTGCACAAAGAGGAGAGGCCATGGGCAAACACAGGGCTCTGCACACAGCGGGAAGCTTCATAGAACAACTCTGAATTTTTATCAAGTGCATCTGGAAGAGCTTTCAGGGGGTGGGAAGTTCCACTCAGGCTGAGCTGCTCTACAGGGGGTGGATGAAAGGTGAAGAACTCTGTATGGAGAGGAAATCTGTGGCAAGCGCTGTCTAAGCAGTGTCTCTGGGGACTTTGCTGCTGCAGACAGCAGTATAGCATACAGATACCAGAACTGGCTCATACTGAGTTCACACAGGAACAGGAAACAGTTGGCCTGGGTGATGCAGAGTGCAGGCTAATGCACTCTGCCGAGAAGTCTCACCTCCTGCATGGTGGCACAGGAGGGGCCTTGGGACCAGGGGAGGCTCTGTCCTGGCCCAGAGCTGCAGGAACACTTCTTTGAGCAGAGGGAACACAGGGGTAGAAGCACTGGTGTGCAGGGCACAAAGGGCTCTTACTCACCCTTCACCCCTGTCCGGTAAGTGTGCTGCACATATTTCAGTCCCGACACAATGTCCCTGTTTACCTGCAAGAAATGACCAGAAGGAAGTGTCAAGGGAAGGGTTTTTGTTCTGTACCTGCTGGGTTTCTCTCTCCTTAAGACATGGCCATCTTGGCTCCCCACACCACTGCTCTCTAAGGCTCAGCACAGGACACATTGTGAGGAATCCTAACTTGACTTCTCCATAGGCACCTGGTGACCTACAGCATCCTCTGTGCATTTCCCTGACTGAAACTGACTGGAGCACATCAGTCAGCTTCACAAGATAGACTGATGAAGACAAAGAAAAGTAAAGCAGGGAGTTTGTAGTTAATAATTTCCATATTGAAAACTAGACACAGGTTGCTAGAGTCATCCCTCCAGCACAAACAGGTCGGCAAGATCAGCTGCCCCCTAAGCTTCATGAGGAGCTGGCAAGTTTCTCCTCAAGAGACAGGGGGACAAGGTTTTGTTCATAATTTTTCCTCAGATCTCCTATGGATGGCTTGGATATATCCCTTGCTGTCCCCTTCCAGCATACACCACCCCCCCACAGCACTACTCAATCTAGAAACAAGACAGGCAGATCCTTTTACATCCTGGGGGAGAATTCACATGGTGCCAGCTCTTATCAGCCCTGGCACTGAGGGAGGGAGTTAGAATAATTTGTCTGGCTCCAGGTGTCTCCTGTCAGTAGGGCTCAGATACAGATGGAAATATTTCATAGCACAAAGGAGAGCTGGAGGTGTCTCTGGGGACAAAGTCATCTCTCAGACAGCAGGCAAGCCTCCAAGAAGAAGGGAAATCTTCCCTACAGAACCCACAACACCAACATTTTCCTTCCTCCATTTTTTGTCTTCTCTGCCTAAGCCAGCTTTGTCTCTAGCAAACATGTGGAGATGATCATGTCAGTGCTGGATGCCACACTGCAGTGTGGCCAAGTTTTATTTCCAACTGGAAACAGAAGAAATGGCTGACGCATTGGTTAATGGGAGAGGGGAAGAAATAAGTCCATTTGGATATATCATGACCCAGAACAACTTAGATATCTTTAGCCAAATGCTACAGTATTAAATCTTTTTTTATGCATACATGAAACCCAGCAATACAAACCGAACCCATACTTCATGGAAAACCATTATCTCTTCTCCTCCCTATCCATTTCCACTTTGTGTGAATTTGAGATTTTTTTCAAGCCAAACTCAGCCAGAACTACTCATCTGACTCCCAAATCACCTGTTGTTCACCATTGTGGGTAGACGGAAAACAGCTTCTTCCAAGGGGCGAGCAAGCAGAAGCGATTCCCTGGAAAGACCTGGACCCTTGTTGGGTAGAAGGACACCTAAAGCTAGGGGAGCTTTACAAGGGTTGACCTACAGATTGCTGGTGACTGGTCTCAGCAACTGATGAGAAGCAACAGGAAGGAAAAAAACTCACTCTGAAGTGGATCTTAACTCTGTATTCCACTCCTTCCTTTAATACGAAGGTCTCTTTCTTGAGTGCTTCAAGGTCACCTGTAAGGAGAGGATCAAGCTATTATCTAGAGACACAAGAGACCACATGTGGTGGGACGGGGCTGGGATTGGTGTCGGAGGTAAGCATCCCTTTGAAGGATGGCACACCTGCAAAATGAGTACATGTAGGTCTGTATAAGCAACTGCACTGTGAGAGCACATACACAGAAACGCCTGGGTGTGCGTATGGGCCTGCGTCTACATCTATGAAGATGATCCCTAAACAAACACAGGTCTGGGCGCATATACACAAAGATGTTTACGACCAGACTGGCTGTTTGGCATCTGCAGGAGCATGTGCTTGCTTCATCTATGCCCAGCCCTGGCTGGGGCGAGTGGAGCATGTTTCGCAGCTCCTGCCCAGCTTGCGAGGCTGCCCGGGCTCTGGAGGGCTCTGCGTGGTTTCAGTTGAACAGGAAGCCTCTCTGCTCCTCCGGGCCCAGCTTCCTCTCTCTGCAGAAAAGCCCATATAAGGTGAAGCCTGGTTCTCTCCCCATGTCTCCAGGAGCCGGAACTGCAGTATTGCTCGATTCTGAAATTTCAAAACAGCCCGTTACCCGAACACATGCACATCCCTTGTGCTTGTGAGGTTTCATTGAAACGAGAGAAGGCAGGAGAAACCCAGGAGCTCCTAGAACAGGCTAGATGAAGAAAAAGACCCTCGACATTTTCATCTGTACATCTCCATTTCTTTTTCACAGGAGTATACCTTAAAATAAGAAGCAAGGCTACGATGACCTCACAGTTCTTATAGGAACCCACTGTAGCATCCCAAGGACAAACTCTCTTTCAATTTGAAGCATGCAAGGGCCTTTGCTTGCTCCCCTTCATGTCTAAAGACAGTCTGTGCCTACCTGTAAGGTCCATAGTGATTGGTCCTGGAGCAGAGTCACATACCAGGGTGAGTCGGGTGACCACCACATTGGGAGCTGTTGGGTCTGCAGGTAGAAGAGTCAGGGAGAAGCTGTCAGCTTGCAAAATTAAATGCAGGGGGAGGAGAACAGCACTGAAGAAACAGTTGCTTTCCCACACAACAACTGCACTTCATGAAACACCCAATAATGCCAGCCTTCTCTTAGCACAATCGGACCATGCATCTACCCCAGTCCTTCAACAGGGACCATTCCAGCCCCCAACCCAATACCCAGAGGAGGTCTTTCCACTACAGGAGACTCCCCTCTTAAGATGATTGTGAGCCACAAGACCCCCTCTCAGCACAGGCTGGTCCTCTCATTTCTAACCCCTCAGGTGTCCTCCAAGGCCCACACACGTCCCACCACAAGCCTCTTTTCGATGCCAGCACTCCCCAATAACCTTACACCTAGCGCTCAGAGCACCCTCCCTGCTTCCTTTAAATGCATCTCTCCACCTGCCCATCCCCAGTCCTCCAGCAGAAGCAGTGCATGTGCCTGTTTAAACAAGGTCCCTCTTCCTTGAGGCTACCTTGCCCCATCCCCTCAGCATGCTGTTGTGATTCATCTCCCCAGTCTCTTCCTATCAGAGTGCCCCAGCCTACCTACTACCACTGGTCCATCTCCCAGCAGGGACTTCTTGTACTTAGCGAGGCTTTCATCATCCTTGTCCAACTCTTGCAGCTCCTGCAGTGTTTTCTGGGGAGGGGGTTTGTAGTTGAGTTTCCCA